ACGTTTTAAGTTCAACAAATTACAACATAAAATATAATATTTTCTAGGAAAAACATACTTACATTTTCAAGGAACAAATTGATGGTTTTCAATTATAAACAAGCTTATGAACTCATGTTGATACACTTTCAAAATCACTTGTATTCTTAGGGAACCGATAAGATAAGAATACCCATAGATTTTGAGAAGACGGAGCTTTTAGAGTCGTGTCTTTTAATACTTTTGCTACACATTTTTGATGTCATACAAACTATGTATTGAATAGGTGTAAATACTTTAATTTATTAATGTAATGGTTCTGTTTGCTTTCATTCCTATTATACAATTTTTGTGATACTTTACATGATATCCTCCATCCCGGAACATTTCTGCCGTTCCAGTTTGGGGGTGTGATAAATGGAGACTTGCTTTCTTGTTCTTTGCTTCTTTCTTCCTCCTTATTCCTTCTTTAGCTTCTAGGAACACCAAAAATAACTCAATAATAGAGGAAACTAATTAGGGTTTCAATAGGGATTGATGGGACTGATGGAGGATGAGGATGATCAAACCCTAGCCTCTTCATTCTTTTAAATAGGGCACAAACCTAGAAAAATAGAGTTTATATGTCAGGTGTCACCACTTCGTGGCCAATACTGCCACGTCGTGGTGACTCGAATACACGCGATCCATTTTCGCCTCTCCATGTCGTACTGGTGTCTCCACTATGTCGTGGTAATCCCCAACATGATAGATTTAAATATGAAAAACATATGTCAAGATTCGGGCGTTACACATATGGTGTCCCTCAAAAATAATGTAATTGACTCCTTTACATTATCAACTGATCCATTCAGAAAAACAAGTGTTACACCCATCAATTAAAGAAGGAAAGATTGTAAAATTAATCATGACTTACTATAACATAAGAGATTGATATTTATACAAAATAAGGTCTTCCTAAATGACAATATTTAAAAAAAAAAAAAAAAAAAAAAAAAAAAAAAAAAAAAAAAAAGTAATAATAGATTTTATTGTTACAATGGGAGTAACTTTGGTTATGAGAAGAATAATACAAAAGAATGAATGGCAGATAATGATGTATCAAAAGAAAAGAGCTTCAGTTGAAGGGATTTTTATAGGAAACCCTTTCAAGGATATGTGAGTAGTGATAGCAATGAAGGAACAAAAGAAATAATAAGTCCTTAGAGATAAGTGTGATGTCAAGACTAAGAATTTGGTAAGAGGAGATGAAATCATTTTCTATCATGGATTATTCAAGAAACATATTATTGAAAAGGAAGTGTGAAATAGTGTAATATATTTCATTAAGTTTTTAGATAACCATAAATGATGACCATAATATGTAATATGAGGTGGGCCACCAGGGGCACCTTGGTAGTTCTTGTGACTGGGCTTGTCTAGGGGAACCCCGGCAGTCTTGTCAAGATTGGTTGAACTAAGTGAACCCTATACACTTTGATTAGTCACACAAAGTGAACTAGGGAATCATATCACTCTTTTATGTTTTGAATATTTTTAGTTACTATGGGTATGATTGTTCATGAATGATAGGATGAAGAGAAGTGTTATAGATTTTTAGAAATTCATGAAAACTATATTACCTTACTGTGATATTTCAGTAAGGGTTAGATTGTTAATAGATAAAACGTGTACTAGTTCGAGTCTTGAGACGTGAAATCTAATAATCATAATGAATGTGGATATTGTTTGAAAAACTATACACATACTAGTTGAAATGAAAACTTAATGAAATAAGTTCAATGTATTTCCATGATGAAATGTCCTTTGGATATGTTTAGAATTTTGTATGTGAATTGTATAAAAGGATCGAGAAATGACCTCACCGGATATGAAAGGAAGAATAGACAAATGATAACTAAACTCATGAATTAAATTTCTATAGAAAATGCATTGAGTCCTTTATTAGTTGCATGAATTGTACAACCCATGTTTATATATCACATTTTGATTGGTTTTTAGGAATATAGTTTAACTTTTAGGTTAAATTTCACTCACATGAGATATAACTAGACTTATAAGAATACTTTAGGAAATTTAAAGATTATTGAATCTTACGAGTATTTCCAGTCCTCTAGTGGTTTATTTCAATCTCATATAGATAATTTTTAAAAGAAGTGACATTAAAGGAAGAAGCATATTAAATAGAAATATAAGATATTATGAATGGTAGGCGTCAAAGAAAGGGTTCGTCTAAGGACAAGTGGATTGACAAAATGGTAAATGGAAAATAGTAAAAATGACTAGTGAATCTTGAATGGAATCATGAAGAAGTAAATACGGATTTGTAAGCCACATGAAGCAATAATGCAAAAATGATTATTACTATGTAGATGTATTAGTTAATGGAACCTTAAAATAAAATACCCCTCATTTTTTTCTAAGGTATAGATAGAATCGGAAAAGGATATTTAATCACACAAAGTAACTGAACGATATAAGTAGACCTAAATGTTCGAAGTAATATTGAAAAAAGGAAAAAGAAATGTCAAATGCTTGCCTTCATCTGCAAGAAATTGTAAATTCCATCGAAGACATGATAACATTGAATACTTGAGAAAACCAAGTGAGAAGGTATGAGAATCTACAAGAAACTATGTGTGGTGAAAAGTAGTGTAATAGTGATAATTAACTTCCTAAGAAAATAAGAACTCAAGGAAGGATAAAGCTCAATAGTTTCTAAGGAAAAGAAAGTTTAGCCAAGTATATGAAGATTCAAACAACAAGGATATACATGTTATAACTTGTTAAGAAAGATTTGACAACATGAAGAATACAACAATGGGTTAAAGTTCAGGAAAAAGAATATCTAATTTAAATGGCAATTTGATAATGGTGTGAAACAAGATTAAGATAACCCTCTTATTTAAATAAGAACTAATTTAAGAAATGAATCTAAGATCAAGAAGGAAAACATATAAGTAAACAAGTCTTATAAAATATAGGTTATAGGTTTTTGGAGATTAAGTGAAGAAAGAACATGGAAAGTAATTCTTGAATATGATCATGATTTGACTTAAACTCGTCTATGAGAATTGAGAAAGTGAGGAATAAATGATGAATATAAAGGAAAAAAGTAAAAGAAGTTTATTGACCATGGTTAGGACAATCCAATAGTTGGTCAAAGCAAAAGAAAGGTTTAAAGAAAATAAAATTTTCAATAATTAGCCATGTTTGGACAAATAAGGTTTTTGTAAGTGAATCTTAAACCCGATTAATTTATGTTAGTGATTTTGACGATGAAATCCTTTTAAGAGGTAGATATTTGTAATGACCACAAATTTCTTATATCTAATAATGAACAAGTGGGTAATAAGCCTTGTTGTCTATGTTAAAAGACCATATGATCTTAAGGGTAATTTGGTCAATTTATGAGTATCATGAACTTTTGAAATCTCGAGTCTTTTAAGTGTGTCGATGTAAGTTATAATATCCTTTGTGACAAAATGAAATATGGAATTAAGAATTTAGTAATGGAGTTATGTAATTTGATTATAAGGGTAAAATGGGAAATTTTATTTTTTTGAACACCAACTTCATGTTTTAATAGATTTAGACTTATAAATATTTATTCAAAAGTTTCTTAGTGAAATTGTTAAGCTCTTTCCCATATTAATGTGGATATAAAGTTCATGAATTTTGGAGTTGACATAATAGACTTATGATAGTGTAAAGATGAATAGAAGTTAGTGAAAAACTTGGAAATTGATGCACGAACAGAATCTGCCTAACTATAGGTTACGCTACTAATGGAGATACATGACACATTGAGTAAGTTTTTTTATAAAACGATGATGTACATTGCCATTTCTAAAATAGGCAATATGTTATGCATGAATGTGACACATTCAAGTTTAATTAAGAATGTCACTCATACAAGTTAGGTACGTGAAACATAAGCTACAACTCCATATTATGTTAAATGGGATAATGGTCGGTGTTTTATCCCTTATCCATACACACACTCTCGTTTTTGGAAGCTGTAAGATGTGATTTTTGGATGAGGATCCATGATTGAGGCTTCTACCAAGAGATTGTGAAGAATCTAGAGCTTTAACATCTAGAAGGTGAGTCAATGTATCATCATTCTCATTTTTCTCAAGTCTCTTTAGTTCTTCCATGGTGGAATGTGTATGAAATTCTAGACATGTTTTTGAATGCTATAAAGCTTTAGTGTGATGTAATAGTAATTGTCTCAACTATAATTCCAAGCCTTAACTAATGAAAGGGCTGGAAACTTGAAATTGAGTTAAGAACTTAACGAATTAAGTCATATATAAGTAAGAAATGGAATTAAGCTCTTAATGAGTTAAGTCATGTTATTAAGAACTCTATGTGTTGATTGAATATGAATTGAAGGTATTTTGGTCAAAAGGAACCAATTGAAGGACATAGGTTAAAGTTAGTTTTCACTAACTAATAAAGTGAGTACATGCGGTTTTTATGGGTACATAGCAAAGCAAGCTTTTTTTATATGAAATTTAATGTCAAGTGTTTTAATACTTAAATCTTTATGTTCTCAAGTTGGATGATTTAAAGGGAAATACCAGCAGTTGAACATGAAAGTTTTAGCATGTCATATGTTTATTATATTATAAGACATTGTTAATGGTTTAATTATGAAAGTTTTAGCATGTCATATGTGTATTGTTTTAAAGGGAATTGTGTGTGGTTTAGTTATGAATGTTTTAACATGGTGTACGTTTATTGATTGATGATTAAATTACTCATGTTTTGTGTTTTGTGTTATGTTATGAATGCATTCATGGTTTAGGCCATTTCCTCATAACGAGACGAATAATATAATAGAATGGTACCTCATGTCGCTAAGTAGTTGTCGACGGATATAGACTCCCTATCGACCACAATGAGATTAGGGCTCCCGTGGTTAGTAAGGAGTTGGTTGTGAACTGGCGAGGGGTATGAACTCATCATATGTCATATGAGTTGGTAGTTAACAGATAAGGGGTATAGACTCCCATATGTACGTGTACTCTGTAAGGTTTATGATATCGAATGTTTTTATATGTACGTGTAATCTGTAAGGTTTATGATATCGAATGTTTTTATGATCTGATAATGTGTTCATGATGTTATGAAAGTAAGTTTCAATTTATGAAGTTCAGAAGTTAAGGTTCGTATGAATATATTGAAAGTGTATTTCATATTTATTTTATTGTGTCTAAACCTATGTATCTCATAAATCTTTCGACTTAGGCGTTTTGTTTTTAAATGTGTTCTGTATTTGTATTCAGGTTTGGAGGCTAAGGATTAGAAGAGCATTAATAATGAATGCTCATGGAAGACTTAGGATAGTCTTTGGATTGTATTATTCAATTATTTTTACTATGTTCGTGATATTAGTTTTGTAATACCATAAGTTTATAAACTCTAATAGACTTTAAAAGTTTTTATAAAATCACATTTTGATCGTAGCCTAATTGGTGATAATTGATAAAT